CGCCGCGCCGCCCGCACGTCTCCCCACTCCGCACAGCGGCGCACGGCGGCGCACACACGAACCCCTCCCAATTTCGAGTCCGATCCCCTCCCCCTCCGTGCCATTCCCCTCCACAGCAACAGCCGGCCCCTCCCTCGCCGCCCCTTTTGCTTTCAAGTTCGCGTGTGACCCTCACCGGCTATATCTATCTGCCTCTCTCCTCCTTTCACCCCCGACTCGCTCTCGTTCGCTTTTTCCTTTTTCCCTCTGTCTGTCCCTCTCTGTCTCTGCCTCCCTCTCGAGAACGACCTATAAATCATCTCCAAGTTGATCTGGGCCCTTCACCGCTCACTCGGCGTGCATGTCGTTACCGCCGCTCTCCCCCAACTTTGTTTCCCCCCGCCGGCCCCCGCCTCACCGAGGAGACGGTCTACAATATATCGGTGAAATGTGTCCGTTCTCACACTCGCTGGGGCAGCGCGCGCAGCACGCATCCTGCTGCTGCGGGAGACCGTCTATTCCACGTAACCCAGTGAGCTCTCAGACTTTATTATTTTAAAGTGACGATGCAATGCATATTGTTCATACCAAGGGGAAAAGGTAGCATGTACGGTAAATGAATATGGCATGTCTCTGTCGTGGATTTTTTGTTGTGGTTGATTCCGGAAAACTGAGATTTTGTGTGCTATTTCATGCAGTCCAAATTTACTTCATTATTCCCACTTACGATGAAAGAGCGGCACTCACCATGAAATCCTCTGTGGTGTTCCGTGGTCAACACGGGCGAGTAACTACTGAAAGAAATTTTCCGTGGTGTGTCCGTCTACTGAATTGTTTATAGTGAAGGTATTAGCACATCTGGCAATACCTCAGTCTTCGCAGTGCCTGATGATTCGCACTTTCTTGTGCATCTGCTGCAGATGGTTTTCGGTCCTTGTTTAGAATAAAAAAGAGAAAATAGTAAACGGTATGTTGCTTGCATACGGGCGGCGGCGGACGCTCTTAGAGCGCATATGCCTAAAGGTATACTACTGCGATTCGCTGTCGTGCTCGCACTACAACCCTTTTGTTTGTCGAAGCAACACTGTGAAAAATATCCTCGTAAATTTACGACATTTGTTGTAATTTTGATTTACAACATGAGTCGTAAATTTACAACATCCCATTCATGCTCGTCGGTCAATTCTAAGTCGATAGGGAGTGCTTAAAAATTTACTTTTTCAATTTACAATTTAAATTGTAATTTTACGACTTTCACCATGGAAAATTTTCCTGTAACCCTTACGACTATTTTTCACAGTGAACGCGCGCGCGCAGAGGGAAAAGAAGGGAGAAGTAGGGGGCAATATGCTGCGAGGTTTTGATGTGCCGAGCGTGTAAAGGCTTCATTCTTCCAGCTCCAGAGCCCCCCGCCCTGCCCGCCAGCCTCGGGCCTTATGGACTTACCTCGCCTCACGTGGCACCGCAGTGCCAGCAGCGCAGCAGCGCAGCCACCAACAGCAGCATTCACACCTTATTTTTGCACCGCTTTAAACATGCAAATCCCGGCGAGAGCGGGCTCCTCTGGGATGAAACTCGCATTAGAGGTGGCAGCACTGCGGGAGGATGGGGGAAGGGGGGCGAGCGTGCGTGACGTGGCGGGGCGGGGCGGGGCGTGCCGCTGTCCCCTAGGCCGTGTGCACGGGGGTGACGCGGGGGCGCGCCGTCGCATTTCCAAAATAAAAAGTGCCGCGTCGGCTGCAGTGCAGCATGCGGAGGGGTGGCGCAGCGCACCGCGTGTCATCAGCGCCTCGGCGGAGATCGAGGAAAGTCCCCCCCCCCCCACACACACACACTCGAGCGTGCACGCATATCCTACACCTGCAATACTCACTCAAAAAAACTTTCCTCTTTTGGGACTCGTCCCTCTTTTGAATTTGACATCAGCGCCTCTGCATCCGAAATGTACTAGACCCATACTTTACAATATCGCCATGTGCAGCTATATCATTGTGTCATCGGTGGTCTAGTCATCAGTAAAACCAAAATGTATTTCCAGTGAAAAAAATCACATAACCCGTATCTTGTCTTCATATTATTTCTCTAAAGTTTAAACAATTTTGCCTTTTGTTTGTTTAATAACTGGGTCATGAAAACTAGTCGTGAGTTTGAGGGCGCGCAGTGTGTTGTGGGGCGTCGCGTCGCGCTCAGTAGTTGCGCGGGCGTGTCGCTCGAGAGGGATGAAGAATTATCGCGACGGCCCGTTATCGAGGAGCGCCCCGCGGGTGCGACAAACGTCAGCGGGGCTGCGTGCTGCTTGCTCGTGGGGGCGGGCGGGCTGCCGGCGCGTGACACGAGGCACTGAGAGGGGCGTATCTACAAGCCCGCCGGGGGGGCTCTGAGGTGAAGGGGACCGACACCGCACGAACAACATACAAACCGAGCACATTAATACGACCCGCGGTTCTTAGAGAATGCACAAAAGACAAAAACACCAAAAATTTGCGTTTGGGTCCCTTTGGCTCAATAGTCACCGGACTTACCTGCTCTAAATGAAAGGGGTTTCATCCGGCCGTCGAGCGCCCTGCCGCCTGCAGTCGGTGGGGATACAGTCCCGTCGCACAGCCGTGCATCGGATTGCCTACTAGCCGGGCGCCCAGCCGCACGCTGCTGCCTCCGGTAGGTGGGGATACAGTCCCGTCGAGCAGCCGTGCATCGGATTGCCTACCTGCCGGGCGCCCAGTCTGCCGTCGCGTAGCCCCCACGGTGCACGCTTCGCGTTTCCCCTCTGGGACAGGATGCTGCTGTTGTCTGGTGCAAGCCGAGGCAGCGTCCCTTGTCCCTCCGCTCTGTATGGCCGCAGGCTGGACCCAGTCCTACCCAGGCGCGCCCCTTGCTCTGCACGTATGAGACAATGAGAATGTAATTAGTTGTGATCCCGCTGCCACTGACACGCCCTTTCTCTGAATCTCGACTGTGTCTTCTCGTTTCTTTTCCTCGCTCTCCGAAACTACAAAAAAACGACTCACACATATGACACACTCCGGAAGGCCCAGGAGCATGACAAGCTTTGGGGAGCCGGGGCGGGGGGTGGACTCGGCATGCAAGTGCCTCCAGGCTCTGCCTTCCTCGCTTGCAGAGTTTCGCCACCGTACGGGTAAACCTAATGAATTGGCAGTGTCTTTTTCGGGGAAAAGAACACTGTGAACGTGCGAGTCATGTTTCTCCTTCAAACTTAGTGACGCGGTTTTACATTACCCAGTCAGAGCCATACGTTTTCTGCATCGATCAATAAGATTGAGACATATGACAGATGACATCTGTATTACGAAAATGTCGCTGAATTAGAGTCATCTCGGCCAAAATCAGTCTAATAGTCATACAAGCACCCATCGAATGATTTAAAGCGCCTATGTCGACTGACATGAGCCATTACTGCCTTTTAAAGGTAGGATGTAGCACTTTTGTTTTTCCAGGTTTTCATTGAATGTAAATAGTTTTTTTTGGAAAATTTGCGTCCCGAACGTTTTGGGAAATTTCAAATCCAAACTGTTCGGAAACATAATTTTAAACTGTTCGGAAACATA